TCCCCTACCCTGCTCAGAAGAGTGGCAGAAAGTTCATCCCATCTGGGCCTTACAGTCCCAGGTTCTACGAGAGAGGCTCCAGGAGATGTCTCTGTGTGGCGCAGACGGACTTTTCTGTCATTTGTGACAGTTCTGAGGTAAAAGGCATCGGATAATGACAACAAAGGGATCGATTTCAAGAGTGTTTTAAAGCATTTGGAAGCATTCGAAGTGTTATCTGTTTTGTTCCAGGCACGTTCTGCTTCAAGACCCTGCCTTTATTCCAGTCTTGTGTCACTCTCCCATCACTTTTAAGCCAAAGTAGTTAAGGCCAGGAGACACAGATTAGTTGTGTTTGAAACCAACAGTGTGCATGCCTGTTGTCGAAAATAGTTTCGTGAGGAGCAGAAGCACGTGTGTCCCGATTGTGGCGAGATCCCAGGCTGAGGAGTCCTCAAGCGCTTGATGACGGAGCCCCATACAGTCCACAGAGCCGAACCAGCAAGCAGAACAACGAGAACTCACGGGTCTGCAGTAACATCAGCGGGACGAGGTCACGAGGGGAACTGGCACTGCACAGGCATTTGTGGAGGGAGGAGGTCTCACCGTGTTTCTCAAGAAGTGTTGGGTTAATGTTTAAGGGCCGTTCATTAACCTTAGTGGACGATTACTGCCCTTTCATCTGTCTCTAATTTGCCCAAGATTGAAAAGCAGAGGGCATCTGGCTTCCAGTATTTAGAAACTAACCATGATGATTCATGATGTCCAACCCACCAGGGTCCTTCTCACAGCCCTGACAGCCTCTGTGCTCCACCAAACACTAAGGCAAAGCCAGTGCTCTTGCTTCTTTCTGGAAATGGCTAGTAACTGAGCTAGGCTGTGACGACTTTATCAGCAGTGCGCCCCGCCTGTCATCTGCTAGCTGCAAGGAACTTTGATGAGCCACCACTTCAGAATTTGACTCAACACATTTGATTGGAATAGCTGCGGAGTGGGCATTTGGTTTTTCAAAACCTTGCTAAGCCCAAAAAGTCCAAGTCCACACAGCCGTGGCAGAGGTACAGTTCTGTGACTTCATTTTAGTTATCTTACTGTGTTATTAGTGCTCTGTCTTAGTTAGGATTTCTGTTGCTGTGCTGAAACATCATGCCAAAAAAGCAAGTTGGGGAGGAAAGGGTCTATTTGGCTTATACTTCCACATCAGTGTTCATCACTGAAGTAAGTCAGGACAGGAACTCAAAATAAGGCAAGAACCTGGAGGCAGGAGCTGATGCAGAGGCCATGGAGGGTACTGTTTACTGGCTTGTTTCCTGTGGCTTGTTCAGCCTGCTTCCTTATAAAACCCGGGACTACCAGCCCCGAGGTGGCACCACCCACAATGGCCTGGGCGCGTGCGCGCGCGCGCGCGCGCGCGCACACACACACACACACACACACACACACACACACACACACACACACATATCAATAACTAATTAAGAAAATGTCTTAAAGCCAGAGCTTATGGGGGCATTTTCTCAATTAAGATTCCCTCCTTCCAGATAACTCGAGTTTGTAAGTCCAGTTGGCACAAGATTAGCCAGCACACATGCTACTTAGTGTATGTTACTCAAAGAAGCGTACCTAACTACCCCTCAACACACACAGAAAAGGAACTTAGCGCTCAACAGAATTTGAGTCCTGTTGAGTTCTCCTTCCCAGTGCCCTTTAGGGGTGTTCCTCAACCCAATGTAATTGAACGGCAGTCCTTGGCTCGTCTGAAGTTGCTGATCTTTGCCAGGGGACTAGGGACCATGTACTTTATCACATTGGGCAGCTTGCATAGTATCCTAGGGACATTCCCATCTAGGTTTGTTGAAATAGTAGTGAGAAGCTTGACCTGCCTGGCATGTGCTTTGTGAAGGAGAAGCCAGTACACATTGTAGAGTACCTATGGAACCTCTGTGTCTCATGGTCACTGCGCCCTTGTCAGAGCCTGCCAACAGTCAGCTGGGTAGCCGGGTGGAGGCGTGTGGATTGTAGAGACAATGAAGAAGACAGAACAGAGTCGAGAGGTCTGCCGGTCAATGCTGGACAGTACCTGAGTTTATTTCACAGCCAGCTGATATACAGTCTTGAAGGACAGAGGTAGAACAATGCACAGCGCAGGCATTCAGCCATTGTCTGCTGAATGTCCAATAGCTAGGTTGGAGAGAGAATAAATCAGAAGATAGAAGAGGGGGGATCGAGAAAAGGAGGAGAGGAGGATGCCGGGGTCAGCTGCATAGCCACACAGCCAGACATAGAATAAGAAGGAAAGAAAAGATACACAGAAAGAAAGTTAAAAGCCCAGAGGCAAAAGGTAAACAAGATAATTTAAGTTAAGAAAAGCTGGCTAGAAATAAGCCAAGCTAAGGCCAGACATTTGTAAGTCTCCATGTATTTATTTTGGGAGCTGGGTGGGAGGCCCGCAAAGAGCACAGAGCAAAAATCATAACCAACTGCAGCTTGTTTTCCTGAACTCCATAAACAAGCACTGTATATGTTCTTGTGTCATTTCTGTGATAAAAACAACTTCTGGGAAGGAATTTGTTTGAGCTCACCATTCGGGGCACAAAGGCATGAGGCAAGAAGTCACACTGCAGTCATAGGAAGCCCAGCATAGAGGAAACAGGACCTGGTTCTAAACTTCAAGGGCTTCCCCCAATGACCCACTTCCTCCAAGGAGACTCTACCTCCTAAAGGTTCCACAACCCTCCTGCTACATGTGCCATAGCTAGAGACCAAGTCTCCCAACACACAAGCTGATGAGGATCACTTCATATTCAAAACCAAACATCAACTAAATTTTATTTTTCCCAAGAGTCTAGCCAGTCTCGAATCTGCCCAGGAAGTCCCACAGAACATCCTCAGTACCTCTCGTCTGAGACTGATGCGGGCATCAGAGGAGCATCTATACCCTGTCCAGTCCTGATCTGCAGGCCCAGTTCCTCGGATAGCACTGCACCTGCCCCCTGTTAGGAAGGTGCCCAAGATCCAGGGTCCCCTTTCGAAGCAGGTAGAGACTAGGTGAGGTCCAGGGACGTGACAGGATATCAGGGCAGGCAAAGGAGGGTGAGCATAGGGGAATCCATCCTGCCTGGCCCCTAATCTCGGCCTCTGACTGAGTCACGTGACTCACACAGCACTGTAGAGTGGTAAGGAGAGCCAGGTAACACACTGTCCTCAAATCCTCAGGCTGTTTCTTGAGACACCAGGCTTCCAATCCTAAAATTCAAATATTCTCTGGCAAACAGGAGTGGTTGGTCACCCTACTGGTAAGGGACAAAAGGGAATACAAGACCTGGTACATTCAACACCTACCCCAGCCATCTCCACTCTCTCCAATTCTCTAAAGCAGGAGAGGTTTAGGGGACCTGGATCAGTGCCCTCCTTTGGGGAGTCAGTTGAGGAAAAGACAAGAGGGGGCAGCCTGAAGCCAGCTGGACCAGGATGGAGGATTGCTGGTCAGGCATGTGCTGCTGGCAGCAAAGAAAGGCTTGCAAAGCATTTCTCAAACCTTTGTGTGGCAGTTTGGGCATTCCAAGACCTATTTATGCAGCAGAACAACCGGTACCACTGTGGTTTGGGTGTTCTTCTGTAGAGAAACCACTGCATGCCCTCACTCTGTCTTCGTCCTTATTTTTCTTTTAGATGAGTACCAGATGTTTAGAGAGAGCTGAAAACGGTACCTGTTGGTTTAAAAACCGCAGTATTGTTCCTCGGGGTCAGCTCTGTTCCTTGGTCAAGGGTTTTGGAACCTTAGTTCTTTCTCTGCTACTGCAGGGTGCCTCTGTTTTCAATTACAAAGTCAGTGAAGGATGGCCAAGGGGGAGCATGGGCCTTTTTCCTCTTGGGTCGGGCCACAGTGGCTACCAGTCATTCAAACCCTGGTCACAGAGATTCTCAGGTCCAGGGTCAGCTCCCATAGGTAGGTCTGCTTTGGAATCATGGTAGGCATATGCTCTGTAGACAGCCTTAGCCTCACAAGCCAGAGCGTAATCAGCAAAGATGGAAAGGAGATGGGGCCTATGATCTGTGTGGACCATATCCCATTGGATGGTGTCTTTATAAGGAGGGAACATGGAGATGAGTGAGAAGAGGCCTTGCTATGACAGAGAGCGAGCATGTGGCCAGAAGAGGATGTTGGAGCCCTTGAATCAGCTGGAGTCACAAGTAGTTTTGAGTCACCTGATACAGGTGCTGTGAATTGAACTCTGGTCCTCTGCAATAGCAGTACACACTCTTAACTCCATCTTTCTAGCTCATGTGGGACCTTTTTTGAGGCCGTTTTGCTGCATGTCCCTGGCTGGCTCCCTACTCAGGGCAATCCATCTGCTTCAACATCCTAAGGGCTGAGATGACAGCCATGTGCCTCTGGGACTATCCAGGAGGAAACCCTTTTGGCAATGAGATAGGTAGGTGGCTTGGAGAGCTGAAATTCAGAGCTTAGCATCCTAGAGATGTCCAGAGGAGTGAGCTGACTGTCACCAGAGAGACTGCAGGAAAGAAGCCATGCTGAGGGAGCGCCTGTGGTGGATAGTCTGCCTGTGTGCTCCCTATAAACGTGGCGGTCCTATGCATGGTTTTCACCCCACGGTGAACCTATGGTGAGGGCATGGGCTTGTACCAAAGCTTGGAGAGAATCTTAGACACTGCTTGCTTCAGACACTCTGTAGACATACCCACCCTGCTTATTCCTCCTCTGGGCCCTCTCTTTGGCAGTCTGTGCTTGTGTGATAGACAGGAGGGAGAGCAGAAAGAATGGAGGAAACCACTGAGTGGCCATCTTTGTTGTTTCTGAGGTGCTGGGGTTTGAACTCGGGGCTTCTTACATGGGGTACAAACCATTTACCACTGCGCTGGAGCCCCAGCCTCATCCTTCCTTCCTTCCTTCCTTCCTTCCTCCCTCCCTCCCTCCCTCCCTCCCTCCCTTCCTTCCTTCCTTCCTTCCTTTCTTTCTTTCTTTCTTTTTTTTTTTTTGGGGCAGGGTCTCCTTGCTGACTGGCCTGGAACTCTCTCTGTATCCGAACTCCAACCTACACTTTTTAAAAAGAAAAGAATGGCTTCCTGGTGGGCCTTTGGATGAGCCAGGTTTCAGCCCCATGCTCCACCTTCCTTTCCCACTGCCATTTACAACAGCCACACTGCTCTGCCGGCGTTTGTCCTGGTGCCTCCTGCTGCCCGAGAATCACGGAAAGCAACTGTTCCAGACTCACACCCCAGGGGCCAGTTTGTCAAAACCTCTGGAGCCATAACAGTGGCTGGAAAAATCCAGTCTCTGGCCTTAAGCTTTCCAAACTTCTGGATCCAAGAAGGCCTTTTGCCAATGTGGATATCCCAGTTTGTGTTCCTTGGGATCACGACATCCTGTGAGGTATTAGCAAACATTTTAAAAGTATCATGGCCAAATAAATTTAGGAAATGCCAAAGTAAAATTCAGTAAGTTTCTTTCCCTCTTAGTGCCTTTATCATGCAAATAATTCAGCCCCCCTCCCCAAGAAAACACATGACATTAGATATTCTGGGACTCTTGGTCCATTGAACAGGTTTTTGGTTTTTGCCCCCCACCCCCATTCTGCTGCCTTCTGTCTGTGATTGTCTGAACTTCTTCAGTAAAGATGTCTCTTTCTTCCTTTTCTCCTAAGCATTAGGGAAATCACCTGCTCCTTCTATCTGCCTTATACTCCATGGAATAATGCAGTTCCTCAGCCAGCATCAACCCCAACAGCAAGCTCAGTGTTTTTTGTTGTTTTGTTTTTGAGGCAGGATCTCATGTATCCCAGGTTGGCCTCAAACTCAGTATGTAGAAGGTTGTGAACTGCCATGTATGTGCTGGGACTCGAACCTAGGTCCCCTGGGAGAACAGCAAGTGCTCTTAACCACTGAGCCATCTCCCCTGCCTCACAAGTTCACTTTTTAGGGGCATAAATGGCTTCTATAATCCAGGTCCAGGCCACTCCTCTCTTGGATGCTGCTGTCACATCCCCCCCTCCACCCTCAATCCCCTCACCCCCTGTGATGGGGTCAGCCAGAAACACCTGTGTTTCTGAGTATGCAGTAGTCATGTGCTGCTCTTGCTGCCTGGTACACCTTTCCCTCTGTGTGTTGTGAAAGCTGGCACCCATGCCCCGAACTCCTCACACCCCCAACCCCTCCCTGCTTCTAGACCAGGAGCACATTGCTGACCCATCACCACAGTCATGTGTTAACAGACGTTTCTGTCCGGCCAGCAACTCCCACATACCCGGTAGCCACTTTCTAAATTACCACACAGAAACTTATATTAATTATAAATGTTTGGCCAATAGCTCAGACTTGTATTAATTAGCTCTTATTTTAAATTAACCCATTTCTATTAATCTATGTATTGCCATGTGGCCTGTGGCTTACCGGTCCTTCAGCATCCTGCTTCTTGGGTGGCTTGAGTGTCTGTCCCGACTCCATCCCTCTCTCTTAGTTTGATTCTTCAACCTAACCTTATCCTGTCTTGCCATAGGCTAAAACAACTTTATTATCAACCAATGAGAGCAACACACATTTCAAGCATACAGGAGGATCTTCTCATAGCAGTAATGAACCAGTCAATGGGCTCCAAGCCCTGTGGCATCTCTGGCACTTCCCCCTAGGCACCTGATCTTGACTCCATGGGCTAGAGTGTAGGACATGCCCAGACCATGCTGAACTAGAGCCTGAAGCTGATCCAGAGACAAGACTCCTGGGCCTAGGCACCACTGACTGCCACACTTGTTGCTCCTGCTCTGCTTAGTTAGCATGAGGAAAGTATTTCCCCTGTGTGTATATCGTTTATGCTTCCCCTTCCTTTTCTTCAAGGAGGTTACGTGTCTTCTACTTAGCACCTAGCTAGGTCCCCCTGTTTTCCTCTTCAGACCTTTTATAAGCTTTGCTGCCATACGTGCTTCAGCGTGAATCTAACTTGTTCTCTGCATTCTGTTTCACCCTCCTTTCCAGTCCCTTTTGATTGGCATTTTTATTATCCCAATTCCCTGCTTATTATGTTGTCTGTAGTATCCTTTCCTCCTTATGTACCTATTATCTGTAAGTTGACACCGTTTGTCCTTGACTTGTCACACTCTCGGGTAAATTAGTGCTTTGGCCATCATCCAGAGAGCACAAAGGCCCTTAGAGAATCCTGCTCCCATTCATCCCTCTTTTAGTTTGTTTTCACGTTTGTCCCTTCTCGGCCTCCGTAAGGACATCTGCCATGCTGCCAGTGACTCACCCGTGTCAGTCAGTGCCCGAGTCCATCCCCTGGCTTTGAGATTTGAAGGACTTGTGCCTCTTGCAGTTCATTCCCTGCTCGTGCCTGAAGATAGGAACTTGCAGTTTCCTGCCCCTGCTGTGCCCCCTGCCATGGTGGACTCCTCTCCCTCTGGCACATGCATCCTCTCCTCAGCCATGGTGTGTTACCACAACAGAAAGTAACCGATGCACGCAAATATTCCCAAGGCAGCTTTTGAGCTCTGCTAGCTCTCCGTCACCTCTTGAAGAGTCCGCTTCAGTGCTCAACCTCTCATCATCACTTTAAACCCGATAAAGCCCACCTGACCACTTCCTGCTACGGGAGCCAATACAGGAGCCAAGATAAGAGAGGCCCGGAGCTCACCTGCCGGCCCTCAGCTGTGCTGTGCTCCTCGGACCTGCCAAATGAACATCCTCCCCCAAGTGGAACAGAAATAGCAAGCCTTCTACAGGCACACCAGAGGTTTTCATACTTCTCTAGTGAACGGGGCACTTGGAGACAGACAATGATGTTGAAGTCAACAGTTGGGTTTTTGTTTTTTTGTTTTTTTGTTTGTTTGTTTTTGTTTTTCCTCTATCCGTTAATGGTTAGCGTGACTGTGAAAACGAAAGCATACAGTATCTCTGTATTTTTAGCTGGGTGGCTGGTGTGGCTTGGCTAGCTCCTGGGATAGAAGGAGTTCACCGTCAGCTCTTCAATCTGCTGATTTTGAATCTGGCAATACTGACCACAGATGGGAAATACTTGAAAACAACGGCATGCTGTTGCTTGGCATGTCCTGGTTAGTCAGGCACATGACAGTTGAGCCTGCACTTAACACGGGCGGACTTTCTTGTCCAGGGTACTCTTCTCTGCTGTGGGATGTTCTGTATGTTAAATGTGTTGCTCTGATTGGTTAATAAATAAATCACTGATTGGCCAGTAGCCAGGCAGGAAGGATAGGCAGGACAAGCAGAGAAGAGAATTCTGGGAAGTGGAAGGCTGAGGCAGAGAGACACTGCCAGCCGCCGCCATGACAAGCGAGATGTAAGGTACCGGTAAGCCACAAGCCATGTGGCAAAGTATAGACTAATAGAAATGGGTTAATTTAAGATAGAAGAACTAGATAACAAGAAGCCTGCCACGGCCATACAGTTTATAAGCAATACAAGTCTCTGTGTTTACTCAGTTGGGTCTGAGCAGCTGCGGGACTGGCGGGTGAGAGAGATTTGTCCTGACCATGGGCCAGGCAGGACTAGAAAAACTCTAGCTACAATTCTCTGAAGGACATAGGCTGTGGATGTTTGCACAGCATTCACAGTGTATGGGTATTGTAAGGACTGTAGAAGTGATTGAAAAGTCTACAGGGGTGCGATCCAGAAATGGCTCAGTATAAAGAATTTGTGGGACAAGTATGAGGACCTGAGTTTAGGGCACTAGAATCGACACTTTAAAAAAGCAGGAGCAGCAGTGCACACCTATAATCCCAGCACTGGGGAGGTGGAGACAGGAGGGTCTCTAGCGTGCTGGCCAGCCAGTCCAGTTGAATGGGTAAGCTCCAAGTTCAGTGAGAATATTGTCCTAAAGGAAAACATTGTGAGGATTGTTTGAAGAAGATACCTAACATCCACCTCTGGCCTCCACATGCATGCGCATGTATGTGCACATGTAACTATACCTCTGAACACACACACACACACACACACACACACACACACACACACACACACACACACACAAATAAAAGAAGGAAGGATAGACTGAGAGAAAGAAAGAAAAAGAAAATCTGTGTGAAGAAGTGGAGGAGTTGTATGCAAATACCCCACTATTTCCTGACTGTGACATCCATGACTTCTGTGTCTTGGAATCAGTCTCTTTGAAGCCTAGGGTTCATACCTCTGGTATCACACAGAACTGTGAACTTGATTTCTGTTGCCTGAGTAAAGTGAACACAAGGTTCCAATGGATCCAAACTCTTCCTTTTATGGATAACTATAATTTGAAGGCTCCAGGGCCAATGAGAAAATCAAGGACTTGCAGAGGAGAGCAGCCCCTAGTGTGCAGGGCATGGCAAAGGTGTAGCACCTCTTCCCTTCCTGTGTGAGGGATAATCCCTGGGCTCTGGAAGGAAGGCCAGCAACAGCCACGCTGCTCCAGCTGACAGCACAGAAAAATTGGAGACCCTGGTGTCAGATCTTTTGATCTTTCAAAGGGGGCTGGAAGTTCAAAGGATGATGCGCTCTATCAGATTTTTAAATACTGGCTTGACTAAAAAGAATCCACTGCAAGCCAAACAAAATACATCTCTGAGCCAAGATCAGCCTCGTGTGGACAATTTGTGCCTCCTGTGATCATAAAAGTCAGAAAGCATAGACACCAGGCTTCATCTTGCATCCCCATGCTGCTATTCTCGGAGAAGCAAAGCATGCTAACCCTCGGCAGTTTGCTGTCGCTCTGCATTCTGAGCACACGAGGGCTTCTCCTCCCGGCCACCTGAACTGGACCAGATTTTATTTGCTCAGCTAAAATCATGAGATTTACAGCTTAGACTTCTGGGGTTTATATAGTTCCCCCAAATTGTCTTCATGGACAGCCATGATGAAGTTTTTGTTTGTTTTCTAGTTACTTCCCTTTATTCCCATCAGCGTGATAATGATCAAGGGCTGGTGTATGCCTGGTGGCTGCCTCGGTAGTCGAAGGCCACGGTGGCTGAGAGAAGATCATCTTCCTTGAAGAGGTCTGCAGACTCCCTGGCTTACACTTCGGACCCATCTCAGGGACAAGAGATAGGACAGCTGTCTGTCATCAAATCCTCCTCCTGTACTTTGCTGACTAGGTTGGACACTTCCCAACTTGAGCTATACCTCTGCATCTTCTCAGAGAACGAAAAGCAAAATTCCACAAGCGGATTGTCTCCGTTTTTGTTATAGGATGCCCTACCAAAGCAACTTAAGGGAGGAAAAATTTGCTCTGGTGGGCATTTTGAGGGTACTGTCCATCATGGGGTGGGGGACGGTTTAGTGGCAGGAGCTTAAGGCAGCCAGTCACTTTGCATCTGCATTTGGGAAGCAGAGGGGCTTGCTGATGCTCAGCTGATCCTTTTTTATTCGGTTCAGAACCCCCACCCATGGAATGGTGCTGCTCACAGTGTGAGTCTTTCCATCTGAATTAGCCCTGTATGAAACTTCCTCACAGACGTGTCCAGAAATTTTTCTCCCAGCGACTCCAGATCCTGTCTAGCTGCCAATCAATGCTAGCCATCACAGAACTGGTAAAGCACTGTTTTCTGGTTGTTCCTGGTGTCCATGTCTCTGTGAGTGCTTAAAGGGATCTCTTGCTCCTCTAGAAAACATTGGCCCCATCTGATTCAAGCAGCCCTGGCCCTGGACTCTTCAGCCTTAGGGCAGTCTCTCTCCCTACCTCTTTCCCTTCACTGGGTTACCAGAGCTTATAGAGGGCACCGTTAACCCCAGCGTTGAGCCCTGGGGCCAGGTTTATTACAGAACATGGAGCTAGCACCTGACTCTGGGTGCCTACTACCATAGTGTGTAGAAAGGGTTCTTTGAAGCCCAGTATGGTGCTTATAGCTATAATTCCTGCATGAGGAAGGCTGAGGCTGGAGGATTATTGTGAATTTGAAGTCGTCCTAGGCTATAGAGTGAGTTCCAGGCCAACCTGGGCCATTGAGTGGGATCCTGTCTCATTAAAAAAAAAAGAAAGAAGAGCTGGGCGGTGGTGGCACACGCCTTTAATCCCAGCACTTGGGAGGCAGAGCCAGGCGGATCTCTGTGAGTTCAAGGCCAGCCTGGTCTACAGAGTGAGATCCAGAAAAGGCACCAAAGCTACACAGAGAAACCCTGTCTCGAAAAAAACAAACAAAAAGTCACTGGTCCTTGCTGTTGATGTCAACCCATTACCCATCTCGTCCAATAGGTGGTAAGAGCTATATAGCCCAGGCCCATTGCTCCCTGTCAGGGCCGCAGCTGGCTCTGGCCCACACTGTGTTCACACACCATCTCCTCACTCCTCTTGGGTTAGGCTCTACCCACATAGGAACCTTGTCTTCCTTCCTCCTGCCCCAAGTGTCCAAGTCACAAGGTGATGCCATACTGGTCCTTGGGACTCCACAAGTGCACAGAAAATCTCTGGGGGTTAATCTTCATGTCAGTTTGACTGGATTGAGACACTTGGGGATTAGTAAAATACATTTCTGGATGTGTCTGTTGGTGTTTCTAGAGGATTAACTACGGTGGAAGGTGAGCCCTGAATGTAGGCAGCACCACCATGCAGGCAGGGGACCAGAAGAACTAAAAAGGAAAGAAAGAGTGAAAGTGCTAGAGCATCATCCTCTCTCTGTTTCCTGAGCAGCATGAGGTGAGCAGCCCCTGCCGTGTCCTCCCGTGACCCTCATAGTCTGCCTCAACCTCGTGCTGTAAGCAGCAGATCTAGCTAACCTTGGACTGAAATCTCAGAACCTGTGAGCCAGAATAAAGTCTTCCCTAACCTATTTATGTCAGGAATTTCTTTTTCACAGTGACAAAAATACCAAAATAAAGTTCAAGAATATTGCTACTATCCTCTTAAAGTAGCCATATTATTCCTAAGAAAAGTCCCTCCCAGGGATCTTCTAGATCACAGAGTACGCTTATGGGCATGGAGCAGCCCAGAGGGATGAGAAAAGAGGTAGATGCCAGTGTGCAGTCCCTGCCCTTCCTGCCATACCTTGCATATCTCTTTTTACTGTCTAGTTAGAGGCTCTACCGATCACCTGCCCAATCCAGGCACCAGAAGTGTCTTCCACTTCTAGAGCAAGCAGCAAAGTGTCTCTCAGTTGACCCTGTTCTGCCTCCAACCTCCAAGGCTGTCTATTCTCTTTGACTGGGGCTCAGCCTCGAGGTGTGCTGTTCCTGCCCCTAACTACTACTACTACTACTACTACTACTACTACTACTACAACTACTACAACAACAACTAATACTACTACTACTACTGCAACAACTACAACTACTACTACTATAACAATTACTACTACAACTACTACAAATACAGCAGCTACTACTACAAATACTACTACAACAACTACTACAACAGCTACTAATACTACTGTAACAATTACTTCTATAACAAGAGCCACTGCTACTTCCTCCTCCATCTTACAGGTGTTCTGAACATGGAACTCAGTCTTCATGTTTGCACAGAGAACACTTTATTGACTGAGCTATCTCTTAAAACCTATATAAAGTCGATCAATAAAATTATCCCGTAATAAATCGATGGAACTCTAGCTGTAAAAGACTCCGCTTCCAGGTCCCCAGTCTCTGGAAGTGCCTCACAGGACCGCAGCTCATCTGGAAAGGGTGGACACTGGGGAGTCCTCATACTGTCCAGAATTCACTCTCCGTCGTCCATGCCCTCTTGTGTGTCCGAGCACCCAGAAAACATCTCCACCTGCTACAGTCACGGCTTGTTTGATGAAGCCAATTCATTTAAAGTGAGATTCCATCTTCCCCTGGATTAGAGTTCCAGCGAGGCACATACCAAGTCCCCAAGTGAATTGTTGCTGTCGGTACAAAAGTAACTAACTCCTAGCTGAGGAGGAAGCCGGGGTAGGGCTGCTTCTTCGGAGCGGTGAAGGAAGCCGCTGCCCACTGTGAGCCGCAAGCTCTCCTGCTCGGCACTACTGTGTCTGAGATGCACGGAGCCTGTGTCCTAGCCAGCCATCGGCAGCAGAGGGCAGCAGAGATCAGGACATGGAGTTATATCAGCACCTCACTTCCCAGAAGGAGAATTCAAGTCCACTAATCTGTCCTGTTGGGACCCCTGCTGGGCAGCTCAGCACTCCAGAACCATTAGCCAAAGCAGCAAGACATTCCCTAATCTCCACTTGCTTTCTTTTGTGACCAGGGTAGCCTTCCACAGGGTCTTGCCTCTCAGAGTCAGTTTTAAATCAACTGCAGAGCCTCTCTGCCTATATGGAAATGAAGGCCTGGAGAGGGAAAATGTGGCCTGTGGTCACATGTGGGTGGCAGGCTCAGGACAGGGCCCAGAATTCCTCATGCTACCCCTTTCTAAGTTTACTTCTTGTCAGAGTGAAGTGGGCCAGTGCCTGGGGGTGAGAGTCCCTCTGTGGGAATTTGGGGGCATGGGAGAACTTCAGAGTATATGGAGAACAATAGTGAGCCCCCATGTGGGTCTCAGGAATTCAGATTTCTCTCCATAGGCAGCTAGAAAAAGAGCCCTTTACAGAACTAAACAGTAGGTGATTCCCAGGCAGCACCTTGACAGCTCATCTGGTCTTCACACCCTGTAGTCTGTGGTGGTATTTTGTGTAAGCTCTAACAAATAAAGCTTGCTGAAGATCAGAGGGTAAAGCCAGCCACTAGTTAGCCATAGAGACCAGGCAGTGGTAGCACACGCCTTTAATCCCAGCACTAGGGAGGTTGAGACAGGAAGTGATATGGCTGAGCGGAGAAAGGAATATAAGGCCGGAGGAGAGAGGACTTCAGCCCCTTTTAGGCTGAGGAGTTGGTGGGGTGAGAGGTGGCTGTGGCTTGTTCCTTTGTTTCTCTGATCTTCCAGCATTTACCCCGATACCTGGCTCTGGGTAAATTAGGATTTGTGCTACAAAAGCCCAAAATCATGAAGCCTCTGCACTTCTGGAATCATGGTCTCTACACCTCTGAGTTCTGGAGTCACGTGACCAAACATTTAGCTTCCCTGGTGCCGTCTGCAGCCCCCCACAGCTGGTCTCAGCGGCTCTGGAATCTATGCATTACAGTCCCCTGAGATACAAGGATGGTGTCCTCCTGTGTGTGCCTATCAGGCCCCACTGCCCAAGTTTTGTGCACCCCTGTGATGGTTAATCTTGGCTGTCAACTGGATTTGCAATCACTTGGGAGACACAGTCCTTGGGTATGTCTCTGAGGGTAGGTCTGGGGTTTAGCTGAGGTGAGAAGATCCATTTTGAAAGCAGATAGCAGGATTGCGTGGGCTGACATCTCAGAGTCTCGAAGAGAAGGCAAGCTAAGCACCAGCATTCATCTGTTCTCTGGCTGTGGCAAGGTGGCACCCTCCTAACTCTGCTGCAGGCCTTCCCCAGCAGGAAGGACTGTGTCCCTCAGACTGTGAGTCAGAATAAACCTTATCACGGCAATGTACAGCCTCCAGCCTGCCACCACCATCACACACACACTAGGCTGACAGTCACCTCAGGATATTGAAGGGAGCCAGGAAGAGGCACACAGACCTGAGGTTATGTAGGTGCCCCATGTGAGTTCCAGATATAAGGGCATGTCTTGGTCTGGAGTCCCCCCACAGACAGGCAAGGCCCCAGGAAACGGCACAGCCCCTACCAATCTCAGCAGCTCTGCCGACTCCACCTGCCCTAAGATCTGGTGGCTCTGCATTGATAGCTGTGACCCTTGCAGGATCCTACAGGCCCCCAAGGACTCTAGTTCATGTGTGCTGTGGTCCAGCTGGGACTCACACCTGTGACAGACGTGGACCACGGGGGTGTGGGGCTGCAGCTGACTCCTGCAGGCTGAGTCTCTGTTCCTTCACCGAGGGCATATAGAGTGTGTGTGTGTGTGGGGGGGGGGGGCAGGGGCTGTCACCCTGGGCCTTGGCAGATAATCTAGAAGGGGTGCAGGTTGGGCAGGGTTGCTCATCAGCTACCCAGCTGCTCTGACTCTGGCCTCTCTCCAGTCAGACAGCAGAAGTTTGGGGCCCAGTGGCCTGCTTGGAGATGGGGCATGAGAGGGGTCTCATTATGAAAGGGGGGGGGTGCTTATGGGATAGAAAATCTGCTCAAATGGCATTTTCTGGGCCCAGTGCCACCCTTTAGAATCAGTAGAGGCAGGCATCTCCATTTTAGCAACCCCGACCCCATGCGTGACTCCCAGTGTTACGCTGTGCGTGAGTAACACAATTTAGAAATAATCTTTCATTCTTGCAATGGACAGGTTATTTACAAAGCACTTCCTTCCTCGGCCCTGTCCCATGCCTGCCCCTGACACTGTGGCTCTGAGGCAGCTCTCCCAGGCAGCTTCCCAGAATTCCTCCGCAGGTCTCAACTCTTTCACTTCCTTCTTCGGAGTCATCTTTTCCAAAATGGCTGCCACCTTCAAGTTGCCTCTCCCACAATCCCTTCTTGGATCCTTTCCCGCAAACACGCATGAGCTTCGGTCGCCGCGTGCCTTTTAGTTGTCTCAGAGTCTCCTTCCTGGATATAAGCCCCTCCGAGGCCTGTGGTGCTGAGATCACCTGTTTATCCTCAGAGCTGCGAGGATGTAAACTGCTAGAGAAGTGCTAGCTTGTCGAATAATAAGAGGCCACTCTCAGTGGTCGATTTTTCTTTTCCCCGTCATGGGACAACAGGGCAGGCACCTTTTGGAGAAAAGAGGATATTTGAAAGCAAGGGGGTCACTGGGAGGAAGCTTCCAAACCCCAAGACCTGGCATGGTGCGCTGCCCACCCCTGTCTGTGAGAAGAGAAGCCCCTAGGAAAGGCAGAGAGAAGGCCAGAGATAGCCCACCTGGAGCGCCCTCTGTGATGAGGAAGGCCCCCCGTGAGGAGACGCGTTCTTCCTGGAGCTGCATCTGTCTGGACAGGTAGACAGGAGGCCCCGGTGGGGTTCCCGGAACCTCTGCAGAGCATGCCTGTATGTACTCGCTCTGCTGGCACGCCATGAATTGTTTTGGGGCTGTCTTGTTAGGAGATTAAGTTTTCTTTTAAAAAGATGAAGAAAGAATCTCTAGCAGGGGCCTGAGTGGAGCTGACCTCTGAGGAGGAGATGGCGGCAGAGGCTGGCTGGCTGGCACTGCGTTTGTCTAATTAATCTTCTTGTCAACAGAGTTGTTCTTTGCCGGTGCCAGCCCTGACATCATCCTGCAAGCTTGTCACACCGGTTTCTATCCAGCTACAAAGGCTGCCTTTCCGTGCTCCCTGCTCTCACCAACAACCTCAGCGTGGCCTGGGGTATGGTGGTGTGGCACTGTGGCTGGGCTGGAACTCCTCTGGGGAGGAGGCAAGAGGGACCTTCCCCAGCCTCTGACTTAGAGGGTCACAGCTGATAGGAAAGTTGGTCAGAGACCAGGAAGGTAAGGGGTCCTGCATCCTGGAAGGAGCCTGGTCCCCATGAGGAGCTAGGCACTGGCCTGTCGACAGGGTTAGACTTGGGGGGGTGGTCAGAACTTAGAGGTACAAAGCACACTGCTCTGGACTTCACTGCATTGCCCCAGCAGGAGCCCTGGAAAATCTGGGCGGCAGAGGGGCAGCATGGTGCCTTTAAGGACGTTGGGATGTCAATGAGGCTGACCCAATCTCCCCTGGTTGGGGGACACTGATCACTGTGTAAGTTTAGGGCCTTTAACTCAGGGCTTAGGTTTGCACAAAGACTGTAGGGCTCCTATGCTGAGTGCCCCCCCCCCCCCACCGGGGTGGCCATGTGGTACCCCTGCGGGGACTTCTTAAAGTCAAAGGCAGTAACACAAGCCCTCCCTGTTGGTGTCATTGCCGGTACCCAACTTGATGTCCCTCAAGCACGTGGCACCACCGCTACTTTGTGGACATGTCTTCTCATTTACCAGGTAGGTGGCAGCATCAGAGCTTCCTCCTCTCTCCTCCTCCCTCCTCCTCCCTCCTCCTCTCCTCCTCTCTCTCCTCCTCTCTCCTCCTTCCTCCTCCTCTCTCCTCCTCTCTCCTCCTCTCTCCTCCTCCCTCCTCCTCCCTCCTCCTCTCCTCCTCCTCTCCTCCTCCCTCCTCTCTCCTCCTCCCTCCTCCTCCCTCCTCCTCCTCCTCCTCCCTCCTCCTCTTCCTCCTCCTCCCTCCTCCTCTCTCCTCCTCCCTCCTCCTCTCTCCTCCCTCCTCTCTCCTCCCTCTCTCCTCCTCCTCCCTCCTCCTCTCTCCTCCTCCCTCCTCCTCTCTCCTCCCTCCTCCTCTCCTCCTCCCTCCTCCTCCCTCCTCCTCCCTCCTCCTCCTCTCTCTCCTCCCTCCTCCTCTCTCCTCCTCCTCTCCTCCTCCTCCTCTCCTCCTCTCTCCTCCTCCCTCCTCCTCTCTCCTCCTCCTCTCCTCCTCCTCTCCTCCTCCTCCTCCTCTCTCTCCTCCTCTCTCCTCCTCCCTCCTCCTCCTCTCCTCCTCCTCTCTCCTCCTCTCTCCTCCTCTCTCCTCCTCCTCCTCCTCCTCTCCTCCTTCCTCTCCTCTCCCTCCTCCTCCTCCTCCTCCTCTCCTCCTCCTCTCTCCTCCTCTCTCCTCCTCTCTCTCCTCTCTCCTCCTCCCTCCTCCTCCCTCCTCCTCCTCTCTCCTCCTCTCTCCTCCTCCCTCCTCCTCCCTCCTCCTCTCTCCTCTCTCCTCCTCCTCCCTCCTCCTCTCTCCTCCTCCCTCCTCCTCCCTCCTCTCCCTCCTCCTCTCTCCTCCTCCCTCCTCCTCCTCCCTCCTCCCTCTCTCCTCCTCCCTCCTCCTCTCTCCTCCTCTCTCCTCCTCCCTCCTCCTCTCCCCTCCTCTCTCTCCTCCTCTCTCCTCCTCCCTCCTCCTCCTCCCTCCTCCTCTCTCCTCCTCCCTCCTCCTCTCTCCTCCTCTCTCCTCCTCCCTCCTCCTCTCCCCTCCTCTCTCCTCCTCCCTCCTCCTCCCTCCTCCTCTCCACTGCTCTCCTCCTCCTCTCTCCTCCTTTTTTTTTTTAACCTCTTCTTCCTCTCCTTTTCCTCCCCATCCTCTGCAGCTCTGGCACTTGACTCCAGGGCCTCCTGCATTAGGGCCCATTCTGTCACTGAGGTACAACTCGTGGCCCCTCTGTACTTTGATTTTGTGACAGAGTCACTAGATTACCCAAATTCGCAATCCTCCTGCCTCGGCCTCCCAAATGGTTGGAATTTCAAGCCTGCACCACCATGCCTGGTTCCACCAGGCTTCTTAACCAAGGAGGGCTGCAGAGACAGAAAGGGAGGAGGCTCTGTGAACTTGAACAGAAAAACACAACATCTTTGTTTTCCCTCACCCCTAACTGAAGTTTAGCATTTGATTCAATTACAAATCTAGGCAAAGTGCCCTGGAGTATTAGCAGCGCCTGAGATGTTTTCTTTCCTCCAGCAGAAATCACAGCTACTTTCCTGTCAGATTACAGTTGAGCATTTATCTCAAAACATCATCTGGACTCATCACTATTTTGAGAGGACTGGAGTTAACAGACGCGTCTTCAGATCTCATTAACTCATATTCTAAAAAAGAACATATATGACGATTTCACAATTTAGAAACATTTGAAAACTGTACTGAGTATCGTGGGTGTGCTTTGCATCCCTCCTGTCTTAAAAATGCTTTTTTTGTGCAAACATTCTGAGTAACTTCGGGGCTTACCAGATCGGCGAGGGGGCTCATCTAACAAACAGCAAGTTATCTCTGGTTCTCTTCCCTGACATCAGCACGCACCTCCCCACCTGACGCATGGTAGGTGCTCGATAGTTTGTTGACTGAATAAATGAATGGAGGCTAGTGTCTTAGCCTGTCTTTGTTCAGGGTCAGGGGGACCACGTATCTTCGCAGAAGCAGCAGATTCTCAGCGCGCTTTACTACCTGTTGGGTTCAGGGTGCACAGTAGAGAAGCACCATCCAGCCCACGAGCCCAGGCCTAATCGAAGCTGTCTGCTAAGCAAGACCTAATTGGCCCATTTCCTTGACTGATGTGACCACCCAGGCTTCCAACTCCTCTTGCTACAGACTGGGGGCGTTCTCTATCCCGGATGCTTCCGTGATACCAGGCTCACAGGGTCCCCTTGGGAAGATTGGAGGCGCGGCCCCCACTGCGCTGCCCATTCTGGCCACGCGATGGCGCCGTGCGCTCGGCCGAGGCCTTGGCAGTCCCCAGTCGAGAGAGAGCTGCATCTCTGGGAACCTGGCTTCCGACTTCAGGCTCCGGCGGGATTGTGTTCAGTTTCCATCTCTGTGGCTACTGGGGTCATGGCCTCGGGCCTCACTGCAGCCCCACTATGGTTAATCAGCAGCTGGCCGGTTATCCATCAGTTATCCATCGGTCACCCATCAGTTACCCATCATCTCCAGGGCGGAGGGTAGAGAACGCTTGGGGTGAAGCCCCAGGATTCCCCCTTTTGAGTCACGAATTTAACATCCACACACTTCTCATTTCCTCATATTGGGACTCAGTGTGCCAGATGATGGTCATCAGATAGACTCAAGTTCTAATTCACCCATGTCTTACTGACGTCATTTTGTCTTTTGCGAAAAGTGGGTAAAAATGCCCCGAGCAGCCCACAGATTTGAAGGTGCCAGTGCTTCTGCAGACCAAAAACACTTTCGTTAGCCCTGTGCTGCATGCTCACCAAATGCCCCAGGCGAGTTACTGTCTGTGGTATTGATTTCGGCAGTGCCAGCCTCACTGTCTGTCACCCGGAGAGGACAATGTTCACCCCACCACACCCTGTTCCTCGGATTGTTGTGGAATGAAAGCCAATGCATGCTAATGACTATCATGGCAAGAGGACAGCAAATGATCAAATGTATGCTGACTTGATTTTCTGGGGTCTAGTTGGAGACCGGATGTATTTGCTATCTTACTCTCTTGGGCTGTCCCCGTGTCCAGTTATGCCTCTCCAGTCCTAGGGCTCTGGAATGTGTTAACTTATTAGCAATGTGATCTTGGGAGACTTAGGAAAAGCTCACTGTGCTTTAATTTATTCATATACAAAAAAGTTTATTGTGGAGAGAGAGAGGGTACAGGAGGGGGGTTGAACACCTCTGGCCTTAGATTCATCCCTAACATGACAAAGTGAGCCCTGGATTCACATGCTGAGATATACACACCTTCCTGGGGCATACATAGTTAAAATGCCATAAAGCCATAAATCCCATTAAAAGTTTGTCGTGAGCACCCCTTCCACAGAGTCTGAGCCTGCAGGAAATAACTGCTTAACATGAGATCCCTTGCCATGTGTAAAGCACTCCTTTGAGTCCAAGACATACTTGTGAAGAAGTCCAGTCCTGTTAAAGTGAAGCTCACAGGCCTCAGAGGAGGCCGTGATGATGGAGAATTAGACACTGGTTCACCATGAGGTGACTCTGTTGGAGCAAAGGGCAAAAACCAAGGTGAAAGCAAGATGGACACTCTCCTGATAGGGGCTCTTGGCTCTCAGGCTGTACACCTTGGTAAAGGTGCTGGTTCAGTTGTACCAGCTGCTGTGACGAAGAAGCGTGCCTTTGGGAACTCTGGAGGCATCTGGTCCAGCTTTTTATTTGCAACTTGGAGGAATTGACTGCTCAGTGACTCAACCTCAGCAATGCCAAAACATGTCAGACAAGGTGGACCCCATTTCAAATGAGTCTGCTGCCAAGGAAACTCAGACTAGTCTTTTGGGGCCTGAGAACTGTGCATCAGGACAAGCCAGAATAAGCTGGCAAGGCAACCACAAACACATTCTTTTTCCCATGAGGTTGTTGGTATCTGATTGAATAAACATAGGAACCATTTGGGCAGATGAGGTGGCTGGTCACTGTGATATTTCCATCGTGCCTTTAGTGTCATTGATTCTCTTAGCTTGGAAATGAAGTTAGTGTGCAAAGAGATGCCATCATGCCCATGAAGTTCATAATCCAGAGTTGATCTAGGCAATTGACACTGTTCTTACCCATCTGTTCTTTGTCTCCTTTTAGTGTCTTTAAGAGAGCATGTCTCTGTCTGGAATGAGGGATGGTTCCCCTGCAGTCAGGAGGCCTATGCCAAGGAACCATTGCAACCTGCAGTTGGGCCTTGGAGATCATTCATAGAAGCTCAGGAGATGCTCCCTGAACCAGTGTTGACCATCTTCTTGAGGAAGTCAGTCGCATTATCAGCCAAATGTTTGCCCAAGATCCTTGCAGAATGTGTGTACTATAGGCAACGGCCATCCAAGTCTCAAAGCCCTTGCTCAGTTTCCAGGGAAACCTTCATGCCCATGTTCTGAGGGTCAGGTTACTGCCCCATGTTCAACATAATGAACAGAAGCTGAAAAGACCTTAACACGTTCTTGGCTTGCCTCACGTACAGCCACATGCTTTGGAAGGGTCTGAACCAGCTTTGACCCTGAAATATCCAGTCTTCCCAAAGGGCTTCCATGGCAAGGTGCTCCTTTAAACGACATGAGGAGGTCTGGACTTTGGGTGGCTGTTCTAAGAGCTCCTTTAGAATCTTTGTACCCTTACACTCAAGATAACTCACTGGGAAAGCAGTGAGTAGAACCCGTTCCTAGGGACCTGACAGGTCTTTAATGAGCAGTTACTAGTCTCATATATGGGCATTCCCCTGCCTAGCCCCAGTGAAGATGACTACATGAGAATCAGCACTTTCAGGCCAGTACCAAAGGGTCTGCTTTCTAAAAGGAGGGTGACTGCACAAATTAATTTTTGACCAAGGCGGCCTTGCAAGGTTGGGCTTCTTCCTTTACGCTGCTCTTGATGCCCCCTCCATCTTAAAGCACCAGGCCAGGGTGAACAGGGGCAGAAATCAAAGGAATAGTTTCTGGAAGACACGCCGTAACCCTATTATCATGGTAGGAAGTGCGAGTCGGCTGTCTTGGGTCAACAAGAATTCTATGCAGAGTATGCCTGCAGTAGCCTGGAATGTTCCTTTTAAGAAAATTCTAGTAGCTTGATCCAGCCCAGAATATTTGCAGAGAGTATGTTTAAAGTATTCTATCACCGAGGGTAAAAGAGAAAGAAGCGATATCATAAAGCTTTGATGCCGAAAGAAACTACAAACAGATGGGCTAGTAGAACCGAGTGTCTCCTACACAGGTCCTCACGGAGATGATGGAGATAAGAAGCTAGTACGTGAGAAAGATCCATGGAGAAAGGGAGATTAGGCAATAAGTGATGTGAGGACCAGCCATGTGGGAAAAATTAGAGGTAATCCGCAGCTCCCCCATATATCAGAATAAATTCCACATACATTTTACAACAGGTAAGCTTCAGCTCTGAGGCAAGGGCTTTCGAGACAGAAATGCTTAGAAATGGGTCTAAAACTACAAGATTTCGAGGTTTGCCTAGAGAAATACTGACACTCTGAGGTATCAGTCATGCTCGGAAGACATCTGTGATAAATGTCAAAAAAAGAGAGCCGGCCAGGTGGCTCAGTGGGTAGACACCTGCCATGCAAGGCCACCAACCTGAGTTTGATCCCTAAAATCGATGTGAGGTTGGAAGGGAGAACTCACTCCACAAAGTTGTCCTCTGACCCACGCACACACATAGTGGGATGCACTCCTCCTCCACACTCACACACCAATAATTTTTTTTAATTTAAAAATATTGTAAGTAATCTTATTTTTATGTGAAAGGTTATTACAAAACAAGGCAAGAGCTGGCACCAGAGTAATGGGGGAAAGCCTGAGTGATAACAAAAATATAAACTTGGAAGGAATATGTAAAAACCTTTAAATCTGTTCATTAAAATTATAAATCAAAGCCAGGTGTGGTAGAATTCATGCTTGTACTCGCATTTGGGAGGCTGAGCCAGGACGATGGAGAGGTCAAGGGCATCCTGGGGTACACAGCAAGACCCTGTCTCAAGACACACACATACACACATTGGACTCATACTAAAAGTATAGATGAACATTCAGTTCACCCATCAGATCTCTGCGAAAATATCCGTTCTTGTCCATTGCTGGTGGGGGTTTATGCGGACAGCAACGTCCTTTCATGACGTCATACGTATGTGTACTGCTCTTTGATCAGAGCTCCCCTCACCCATTATCCTCTCCTGTCCCTCTGTTTTGGGGTGACCCACTGAACTTGATTAGGGTTACCTGAATGAGCATGAGTGAGAGGTTATTTACCTGAGCAAGATCAATGTACAAGTGGGTACACTCCTGAGGAATGTGACTTCTCCTTAGCCCACCATTAAAAAAAAAAAAAAAATCAACCCATCTCTTCAAAACCGCTTAACAAAATTCCAATGTGTTTCGAGTGGAGTAGAGGACTTGGTGTCTAAATGGAAGTGTGTCTTTCTGTTAATATGTGCTTTTGTGCTTATCTTGTTCAAACTTCTTAAGTCTTCGCACCTGCTTGTTCGCGTCCTGTTGGTGGAAATCATGGAGCATCAAGGGGTCAGTGGGGATCACAGGGGCAGCTCCAGGGCCCTTTAATACCTCCAACCAGTACAAGTGGATCAATGGGCTTATTCCTCTTAACTCCAAGGTGTCCTTGACTAATTGCCCAAATCCATCAACTATTTCTGAAGATCCTAACCTATTTTGTTACTAGGACAGAGATGCACACAGAAGTCTGTACACATCTGTGTCTTCTTACTGATTGAATCCTCAAAATTCAAGTGTCCACACCAAAGACTGAGGGTGTTTTTCAGGAGGACTCACTACTATAGACGTATTGATGTTCATAGATGGTATTATTTTGACTTTTTTCTCCTTGCTCTTTGGCGGGGGGGGGGGGGGGGCACCATCCAGCTCCCAAATAAATACACACGGAGTCTTATTCTTACTTAC